ACTGTGCAAGGTTGTTGGCACAACTATAAAGGGAAGTTTAAAAACAGTTTATACTGGTACAATGTACACTGAATCTTACAAACATCATATTGGCTGGATTCATACACCTGGCATTTATAAACCTTCTCCTTGCCCCTGTGTGTTTTAAGTGAATACACTTTTCCCATGCTGGGTTGTTGAGGATGAGAACACGCATACGTTTGCCAACAGCACAAGAGAGACAAGAACATTGTTACTTCCACCGAGAGGCAGTGGCTGCAATGCTGGATACGAGTGTGTAGAATTTCATCAACAAACATTTGTGCAGTGTACATTACACAGACATCTTAAGAACACAGTAACACCCACACGCATGGAGATGCTGCCCCTGTCCAAGCATCAAAGGGAGCCACCAAGGACATCTGTGAACAGAGCACAGGATTGTCTGCGCTTGAATGAGGCTCTCCATTTGCTAGGCAAAGTGGGTGCTAAAACACAAGAATTGCCCAGCTACAGGACCAAAACACATACAATGGTGGTAGCCACATTCAGTGTGTGCCTTGTTCACATTTATAGGAAGAGTAGAGGAAGGAAACATCTTATTCTGGCACTAAATAGAAGTATGGGGCAAGAGGTTCCAAAGACTTCCCTAAATCACTTTTTTGCAATCCAGTACACAGACTCCTTTCCCTCCCTGGCCTGGCTCCCATTCCATAAATGAGCCCAGCAGGGAGAAAAGTGCTTGGGCAACAGAACACAGGTGTAACACTGGGCTCCTTTTTTCAAATCCCGCTCCCTTATACAACTGGGTGGCAAGCCAGAAGAGAGACACAATCACTACCCTGCTATGCTCCATGCAAAAGAACAGATATAGATGGAGGAGGAGGCAGAAGGTTCCCTTCATTCTTTTTGGCAACCACTGTTACAGAAAACAAAAGGGCTGGTTTCTCCAAAGTCTGGCCTGCAAAGTTGGCAAGGGTGTTGCAGTGTATATACAGTATCTCACAGAGTTTCTCCAGAAAGCATTTCTTTCACCCCTTACTCACACACACACAGCTTTTATTCCTTCCAGCAGGGAGCTAGAAGGTCTACAGTTGCAGTCCTGATAAAACTTACTTAAGGCATGTCTACTAGCAGCTGTGACCATCAGAACTCCACAGCAAGATTATTTTGCTTTGGGTCTTAATTATTTTTTACTATGCCATAACTGATCTGATCTGTGGGTTGTACTCCCGGCTTGCCTCTATACAGACTTATCCTTGCGACACTCCCATGGCAAGTCCAAAGAATAAGATTTCCATGTGGGAACATATACAAGAAATCAGAAGGACAGCCAGCATGGTCCAAGTTTGATAGCAGTCTCTCAAGCTGGCACTTCATGGTCAGTTTTTGCTATCCATCTTCTCTGCCTCTCTCAATATTCATTGTCAATTTTCTCCTCCTTATCCCCAAGGAAATCTACTCTTTCGTCTCTGCAGTTGCTGCCAAAACATTCTGGTTCCTCATACGATTACTATCGGCTCTCTCGCTAGTCACTTCTCCCTTCTGCAAGCAAATAATTTAAAATGCTGTCTAATAAAATAATCTTCTAATATCAGGCCACCCACCACTGTTCTTATGCTCTGAAATTTCACATGGCAAAGTATCTTCTTATGGCATAAAGCACTCATTTCCAACAAATCGATTTGTGTGGTGAAAAGACGACATAGGAAGCAACCCCGGTTCTCTTGGCTATGTGGTGAATGTTGTTTCAAGAGTTAATGGGTTTAAAGAGTCTGAGTAGCTAACATGGGTTGTCATGAAACAAGAACTTTCAGTCAGCATTATGACACTCATTTCCAACAAATCCATTTGTGTGGGGAAAAGACGACAGAGGAAGCAACCCCGGTTCTCTTGGCTACGTGGTGAATGTTGTTTCAAGAGTTAATGGGTTTAAAGAGTCTGAGTAGCTAACATGGGTTGTCATGAAACAAGAGCTTTCAGTCAGCATTATGATCAGTGTTCCCTCTAAGCTGAGTTAGTGTGAGATAGCTCACAGTTTTTTAGCCTCCGGCTCACACTTTTTTGTCTTAGCTCAGGAAGAAAGGCTCCAGAGCAAACTAATTTATGCAGCAGCCAAATCGCTCACTGACAACTTAAATGCCAGTAGCTCACAAAGTAGAATTTTAGCTCACAAGACTGCACAGCTTAGAGGAAGCATTGATTATAATGAGCAAAACAGCTACTTAAACGCCATTTTCTGAAAATAATTATTATGCCAGCACAGCTGAGAAATTCATAAGCACTCTCTTTCCTCAACAACATCCTTATGTACTGGAGCAAAATGTTTATCTGAAAGACGTCTGCTGTTCTTTTACAACAGTATGCTGATTACAGAACCGCATAACAGCTACTTAATTGCCATTTTCTGAAAATAATCATTATGCCAGCACAGCTGAGAAATACATGAGCACTCTCTTTCCTCAATGACATCCTTATGTACTGGAGCAAAATGTTTATCTGAAAGACATCTGCTGTTCTTTTACAACAGTATGCTGATTACAGAACCCAGCACGTGGGCATCATGCATAGGCCAACTAGTAACACCCATCCTAAACAAACCACTGTGCCTGTCCACAGCTGCATCAACAGGATCTGTTTTTCACTCTGACTGCACCCTCAGAGCCATTTGGAATAATGCAGATTATTTTACATGGTATGCCCTTGCCTCAAAACACAGGCCTCTTTGGTTAATCAGGGATAAATGGTTAAATTAACAAGTGCAAATTATAACTTTGACAAGGCCATCTCATCTCCCCAAGTACAAGGAAGCCAAGCACTTTAATAAAGCAATGCACAATGGCTTAGTTTTCTCTTTTGGCAATGAAGGAGACATTAACATGTGAATTCTCAGGGGCTGGTTCCTTAACTGGAGCCTTTGTAGAAAGATCCATACAAAACTGATAACTCAAGCCAGCCAGCCAAGTCACACACTATAGGGGAAGGTTCACTAAAAAGGTCATTAGAACATAATTACAGAACCCAGCACTGGTTCTGAATAACAGATCAGGTTCAAGGTTTTGATGTTAACCTTTAAGGCCCTAAACGGTCTGAGGCCAATGTACCTATTGGATTGCCTTGCTTCGTATACTCCCCATAGAGCATTATGCTCTAGGGAGCAAAATATCCTAGTGATCCGTGGCCCGAAAGAAATCTGGCTGTCCTCAACCAGAGCGAGGGCCTCTTCGGCCCTGGCAGCAGCCTGATGGAACTCTCTGCCTAGTGACATCCGTGCCCTGCAGGACGTGGTCCAGTTCCACAGAGCAGTAACGGTTTGTCATCAAGCCTGGCCTCCCTTACTCCCCCCATCTGTTACCACCAGTGGCCTGCCTCATTGTTAGGGAAATTAGCTATGAGACAGAGGAGGCCAGAGGGGTACCAGGGACTGCACACCTATATAAAAAGCACAAGGAGTTTGCAAATAAAACTTGTGCGTCCAGAAGGGGCTTGATTCTCTTCATTAGCGGGGGGCAACAGATTCAAGTTGATGCCCAGGTGGGGACTTAACATAAATTGTGAGAGGAGTATCTTCAAGAGTTTTAAAAGTTACCTGTATCTGGCAACCAAGTTGTCCAGCCTAACTAGTGTGACATTATGAAGACTCATGTCTTCGGCCATTCCCCATACACATACATGCATGCATCTCTCTTCCCTACAGGGGTAGGACCAAACTTTATGTGAATGATCTCCAGGTACGATTCCCCCACCCCCTGTATCTTATGAGTCTGTGTACTCATGCTAGTTTGACTAGGGAAACAATGCAGAAGCTGGGAGTGTTTCACTCTCTCCATTGATGCCATTTTCAAGATCCAAATTTCCTCCCCCTCCTCCAGTTACTATTTGCGCCACAGAGGAATATACACACAGGCACTTTATCCTGGCAGTATTTTTCCCTTAGACAACACATACAGCAGCTTCCGGGGGAAGAACATGAAGGGGAACCGGATGAATGCCCCAAGCCCCGATATCATTTTCCCAACCAAAATATCAATCCCGAACACACACATTTAAAAAAAAAAACAAACAGAAAATCAGTCACCAACCTCCTGACCAACAAGAAAGTTGGCCCTTCAAGAGACTTACAAAATAAAGTAACTTTGGAATCAGCTCTTTGTCAGGCAGCAGTTTTTCTTCAGGCCAGTTTGACCAGTGATCGTGGAAGTTTTTTGCCATCTTCTGGGCATGGAGCAGGGGGTCACTGGGTGTGTGTGTGGGGGGAGTATTTGTGAATTTCCTGCACTGTGTAGTGGTTTGGACTAGATGACCCTGGAGGTACTTTCCAACACTATGATTCTATGATTAGCACTAGCTGAACAATATATCATCTTAATTCTCTAGGTAGTTTTCAGGGCATACTTTGGTTTAAGGATACCTCAACAGTATTAAAGTGCACTAAAATATTAGGTCAAACAAGAGAATAGGTACGAGTCATCTTCTAAACAGAAGCTCTTAAAGCTGTTCTAAACTATTTATTAGGTGAATGTTATGCATGCGTATAAAAAACTTTTTTCTCTTTTAGCATGCAACCCATTATTACTTCCAACAGATGTACAGACTCAAGTCTGTGAGAACGTACAGGGAATTATGGGATAACGACAGAGGACTCTGGGATTCCTCTATTCACTTTATCTTCCCAAAGTGAACCACCACTTTGCAAGGTATACAACACAATCGGCAGGAGTAAATGTGATGCTCCACATATTTTAGCAGGCACACACATTTAAAAACCTAATGTACAAGCGTGCATGCACATACATTAACCTATCATTCAGGTACACTTCAAGAGCTGGAACTAGCTATGGCTCCCCCCACCATGTGAATCCACACACAATAGCCACAACATAAATCAGCCCTAAGGCATATTGACATCAAACGTCATTTCCCCCAGTTTGCAGGAACCCAGATCTTTGAAGAGAAAAACAACACTGCAAAGAAATACAAGCTTTACTACAGAAGGGAGAAAAGGAGAGAGGTGATCTTACTTTCACTGGGGGGCTCCTCTGGCGCAGAGACATGGCCTCTACTTTCATCCAAGGTGAGAATAAGGGGAACATCATCATCTTCCACATTCACAGCCATACCTCCTCCTGGGTTTTGTTGTTTTTGGTCCAGTCAATGTTTTAAGCAGAAGCTTTTATCACAGCTTTGTCAAAGATCGGGCACATCTTCCAAACTGGAAACAGTCCAGGAAGACATCTCATTCATACCCTGAATAACTCTGGCCCCTACCAGAGCAAACACCCTTGGGATACGCAGGATCAAATACTGTCAGGAGCAAAGCAGAAATCTTCTGGTGGATGCTGACGCACACTTTTGAAGGCCAAACCTCACCACTGCTGCTTCCCAAACTGGTCCAACAGCGTCCGTCTCTGACCTCAGCAGCCCTTAGGACGAGGAGGAAAGAGAGGCGGGGAAAGGAAAGGTTTTAAAAAAACAATCACAACAGCACTTGAGCTACCATGCAGGAATGAGATGTATGAGGTGTTGTTACCCTGCCTAAGAAAAGAATGCAACTCTCTTCGCTCTTCGGAGTACAATGGAATCCATCCTTTCCAGAACTCTGGGTCACAACTATAAATGGGGGAGGCGGTTCTTTAATAGGGCCTGTCGGCCTTGATCTTGCAACCCACGTAAAGACGGACACGTTTGTTTTAAAGCGACCTTTTAAAGCGAAGAAACCAAATACGAAACTGTAAATGGCATCGCCTCGCTGAGCGCTTCCCGAGTATCGTCCGCCCCCCGCCGCCTTACAACGCAGCCTGCCCCCATAACACGCTTGAAGCAAGAATCCCAGCCTCACGTCACGCCTGAGCCCCGGTACCTCTCGGCTTGGACGGCAAAGCCTGTCAACGCATCCGGCCTTTGGGGAGGAGGGAGGGAGTGGGAAGACGTTGCCTACGAGTCAGCCTAGGATGGCGAATCTTTTGGCCCGCCGGCTCCGTCCTAGCCCTTCCCTTTCCAGACTAAGCGGTGGGGGGTGGGGAGAGAAGGGTCGCGGGTCTTTCCCCCGCCCCGCCAGCAGCCGCCGGCTGGGGTCGCCTTTCTCCTCCTCGCTGTCCCGCTAGCGGCGGAAGCAATTCCTGGGTTGGTCACAAGGGAGGAGAAGCTGTATGTGGGAAGGGGGGGGCGGGGATAAAGGGCGGCTTTCTCCGCGGAGGCGGAAACGGGGGTCTCTCCTCAAGACGGTCGCCTCGCAGCCGTTTCACGCGCGAGAGGTCATTCCGGCTCTACCCGCTCTCGTTGGGGCTCTTTAAAAAGTTATGGCCGCGGTTGCTGGCGGCTGCAGCTGCAGGGGGGGGGGGGGGGACCCCCCCCCC